GTTTTGAAACATGTTGGACATACTGTTATTTGTTATTTAACCAAGTTTTCTTCGCATTAGCTATCATGTGTCATGCAACAACAAGGATATTGATGCTACGCGATGGTTCAAACACAATAGGTTATTACCATTTCATTCACATTGTAGAAAGAAAAACTTCACAATTAAAACAAAGACATTATCATTCAAACAAAAGCTTATCCTCTCTTTAAAAATTCTACAGAACCATTAAAACAATTAAACAAAGACATTATCATTCAAAACAATATTGCATGATTCATCATCATCATCAAGAAAAACATTAAAACAAAGACAAAAAGTATGCTTGAAGACAAGAAAAACACTTTAATTTTATTCATCAAATCTAAATTTTCTAGATGACAAAAAGTTACTCCAAAGGTATGGTGCTTCATCATCATCCGAAGAGTTGAAGATAACTCTCCTGATTATTCTCCTTGTTCTTCTTCTTCTCCTCCTGTTTCTTTTTCTTTGCATAACCACTTGGACATCATGTAGAACCTCTGCAAATCCTTCATCTTGGACACCATGTTGAACCTCTACAACTTCTTAGTTCTGGATAGCATTTTGAACCCTTGCAACTTCTTCATTCTTGACACCATGTTGACCCTCTGCAACTTCTTGATTTTGAACAACATTATTGGAACTCATTTTAATTCTTCGTGATGCTTTGTGTTGGTAAGAATAGGAAAACCATATTTATAATGCTACTACATGATTCTTCCACTTCTGTCTACTTTAAAAATCTAAAAGTTTGTTTAGTGTGGCTTTGGAAAACCGTTTTTATTATTGCTTCTTTAATGCCAAATGTTTTATTCTCTTTGAAGTAGAAACATTATTTTGGATATCATTACCACTCTATGTAGCAGCTATTAAATCCACACTATATCATTACTTTGGATAGTGTGACTTTTAAATTTCCAATCAAGCAATGATGTTCCACAAGCAATGATGCATTATGACTTGAAAACGAGATAGAACAAGCAATGATGCATTACGTTTTGATCTATCATATAATGATAGATCAAATCACACCATGACCAATAATATGTTAATTCTACAACTTGCATAATCACTGATTTGTGAAAAATCCTACAGCTTGCATAAAAGAATAATGGAACATCTCTTGAGTATAAGAATAATGCATTTTTATAAATTTCATGCATGTTACCAAGTCTATACGACTGATCTTGCAGAGGGATAAAAAAGAAGTAGATGAAAAACTAAAGCATGTATTGTTAAAAGAAGTCCCACATCGAAATTTAAAAAGAAAAGGAAGTGTTTATATATAGTTTTTTTGCACACTACATTACAAAACTTGAGTTATGGGTTAAATTGGAAGTGTTATTGGGTCTAAAAAATAATGGATGAAATTTTAATAATTAATTTTTAAATACTTTTCATAAAAAATATTTATAAAAATAATTTAATAAAAAACGTAGAAAATACATAATATATAAAAAAAAATTAAAAAATTTAAATAAAAAAATAAAGGAATTTCACGTGGCTTCCCAAAGTTAAATTAAAAATAAAATTAAAATTCAGCTAAACTGTCAAATAATAAAAAAACAGAATCTAGGTTCAACGAGGGGTATAGTGAGAAAATCTGGGTATTACAAGGGGGTTTTTAAAAAAATCTTTTATAGGAGGTTAAAGCGAAACTCGCTAACATTACAAGAGGTGATTGTATATTTAACCTTATTTCTTAATATAGTGATAAAAAAATTTGTTGACTAAACATTTTGTTGAAACATAAACACTCAAAGAAGGGTGATTGACTATCCCCAAAATTCAGATTGTGCGTTCTGTTCGTCTAGTTTAGAGGACGTAACTCATCTTTTCTTCTCGTGCTCTAAATCCTCGTTGGTGTGGAATAGGATTTGCGAGTGGGTGGATATAGAGTACATTTCGGAGGATTGCTGTAGTCTTCATGCGAAGGTCTAGAAATCGAGACTTCTGGGTCGCTGCAAAGAGTACAAGATCATTTCTATTTGGTTCATCTCTTGTTGGAGTTTATGCAGGGCTAGAAATAACATTATCTTCAGTAATGCTTCTCTTGAAGTTGAGGACATTGTTTCCGACATTAAAGTTTTCTCGTGGAATTGTTTGATTTTAGGTAGACAGGATAGTAAGAATTGTAGTTTGTACGATTGGTTCAAATTTCCGTTCGATTTTATGTAACTGTTTTGTTCTAGGTCCTGTTTGTAATCTTGATGTTCAGAGATTATCTTTATCTCTTTAATATATCTTTGCTTATAAAAAAAAAGTAAAAAAAGATAATTTAATGATGATGTATTCATCCAATAAAAATGTATCATTTTGTCATATCATATAATTAGTTTAACTCTAGAACTCTTCTAAAAGAATTCCTTGCTTACAAAAAAAATATAATTAGTTTAAAATTTTTAGTCTGACTGAGCGGGATATTTGCCTGTCATTGATTGTCGGTGTAAAAAAAATTTACACAGTAAATACATCGTGTCTTTTTATTTAAAAAAAAAACTTAAATACCAAAATGTATTTAGTAAAATATTATAAATGATTAAAATCTATTTAAATAAAACATAAAAAATGTTCGGTTGAAAAAAAAAGTCCAATCTCTCTATCTATATTTTTAGAAAAAGAAAAGTCCAACCTCTCTATCTATATTTTTAGCTGACTCAATGCACCTTCGAATCATAGTTAGGATAACTGGTGTTTATTATAATAATTTGTATTTCCTTTGTTATTTATGATGTAGATTAAAAATACCATTTTGCCCATTTAAATGTGAAAAGAAAACATAACTATATATATAATATTTCATTCCTTTTAATATTTTTTTAAAAATTTTATCCCATTTATTTTAATTTTTATTTTGCAAATGATAGAAAATGAAGCACATTCTAGATAACTTTTTAAAGAATAAAATATTAAAAGTATTTAATTTTCTTATAATTCATAAAACTAGTCGTCTACCCGTGCAATGCACGGGACAACATTATAAAAACTTTTATTATTAAATATTTTTAAAAATATTTTAATATAATTTTATTTGAATATTTTTTTTTAAATTTTAGAGTTTGATAATAAAAAAAGAAAAATGTTTTGAATTTCTAAATTATGTAAATTCATAATTAAGAATTATAAAACAACAATAAAGTGATGAAAAAAACACAAATTTATTAATTAGATAAATAGATTAAAAAAATTTTTAATGGAAGTTATAATAAGGTAACAAAGTTTGTGGAGTATTTACCATGCTAATAGAGTTGGTGGAATATTTAGGTGAATAGTTATTTTTATTTATTTAATTAATTAATTATTAATACAATTATAAAAAAAGATTATTAATTATTATTAGTAGTTTTGGCAAGAGATTTTGGTAGAGTAAGTTATGGGATTATAATTTAGTATGAAATCACTGTTACACATTGTGCTGTATTTCGGTCAAAAGAAAAACAATTGTGCTATGTTAAGTTTTTTAAAATATTACTACAATATTATTTTTCTTTTTTTGTACCTTTTTTTATCCTTTTATATTTAAATCTATTTATCATTCAAAAATATCATTACTTAAAATTGCATTTTTTTATTTTTATATTATTTTTATGAATTGATGAACCATATTATGAAAAATTTTAAAATATTTAACATAATTTACTACAATGTATTAAATATTTCACAATAATATTATACTTTCACTAAAAAAAAATAGTAATTAGTTACCTTCAACAATCAACTCAAATATCACAATTAGAGACTTGATTGAAACACGTTGCACAAGTACTCGTGGTAACGGATTATCACGTAAAAAACACACTATTAATTTATAGTATGATATTCGCGTCGCTAGTTACAAAATAAATTATACACTTGCACAAGTACTCGTGGTAACGGATTATCACGTAAAAAACACACTATTAATTTATAGTATGATATTCAAGTCGCTAGTCACAAAATAAATTATAGTACATTATCACGTGAAAAATATATCAAGTGTGAATTATAAAATAATATTCTCATCGCTAAAAAATAATCTGCACCACCCTCATCGTCTAGATGAATGGGTTTGGACTAGATATCAAATGAATTTCACAATTATATTATACTCTGTTCATCAAACCAAATCCATCCATTACTCATTTTTTGGTCAAAATATTCACTTGCTATATCTTAATAGAGGGAAAATTAACAAACTTAGTCAAAATATTTATTTAGAAAGTTAAATTAAAAAAACAAGGAAAACACAAAATATACTTTAAAAGTATGAAAATATATTTATAATGTGATATATTTTTGACTCAGCTAATATACTAATAAAGCAGTGATAAACTTTAAATAAACCATTTTCAATATATAATATAATATTGTATAGTTTTTAACCATAATATTTTACCAGGCAAAATATTTATATTTATCAACTATAAAACAAATAAAAAAACTCATATCATAAAAAAAAAAAATTAATGTGCTCACGTTTTCCATTCCATCTGAAAACCTTGGTAAAATCGAAACGGTAGTAAACCGCCTGGTAATTCATTTCCCACGGTTTGCTGACTCAGCAAAAAAGCCCTATAAAGAGTGATAGGGTTTTCTTCTTCTTTCATATTTCACTTCCAGTTTGTTCTATTCCCATTAGACCCTTGTGTCAAATTTCAACTTTTTTTTCAATTGTTCTTTTCTGTACTTTTTCTTTGCTCTAAAGCTATTTTTAACCACACTTTCTTTGGTTTCGTTTTGGTTGAGAAGCTATTTGATTGTAAGCTTGAATGAACAATATGGGTATGTTTAAACTTTTTTCTTTCTCGCTCTAGGTATTGTTCTTATGGACCATATTTATGAGTTTAGAATTTGAATTCCTCGTTGAATTTTGTAATAATTTGAGATTTTTGTGAAATTTGGTACCGTTTTAGTTTAAGTTCATTTCCGTGTCATTTTTTTTTTGGTGTAATTCTTCATTTGTAAAATAGAGAAAGAATCTTTTACTGTATCTTTCAAAAATGGAAAACTCCATAAACACGCAGAATGAGAATTTGGGTGTAAACAAAATAGGGAAGACAATAAAAAAGAATTCATCCCAGCAAACAATCGATTTCGGAAGCGGAAGACATCATTACCCACAGCCGAAAATTCATCACATTCACAGAGATGATTTCAAGAGTTTTGTTATGAAGACTACCGGAAGAGAATCAAACCGGCCAACTAGAACTCAATCTGAGTTTACTAGGTTGCAGCAAAACAGGCCTCCTCCGTTGGCCAATGTGCAGCCCCTTGTTCGGTTTCCGATGCAACCACAACCTCCGCGGGTGCCTTACATTAATGGACTGGCTGTCCCTCCTTTGCAGCAGATTAGTGGTCCTCCGGTTTTCAATAATTCATGGAGCAATTTCGTCGAGTCTCCCATCTCAGCTTTCATGAGAAAGTTTCAAGAATCGGAGAACTACTGCGGTGGTGGTGGCGATGCTTCAAGAGGTAATCAATTCCAGCCATACCCTCCTCCTCCTCCGCAACAACAAATGATCAACAATGTTAACGTTAATGATCAATTTCAACAGCAGTATTTTTCAATCCAAACTCAAATGGTTAACAATGTTGAACATTATAACCTATCATCTGCAAGCAACCAAACTTTTCCGAATCCTAATCCTTCCATATCTTTGAATGTTGCTAGCAACCAAACTTTTCCTATGAACAATGGCAATCAATTTCTGAATGGTTTTCCTCAGTCGCAAACAAATTGCTCTATGTCACCAACTTCTGAATATTTGTTGGCTTCGACAACACAAAAACTGAACGTCCAATCTCCTCAGAGGCCTCTCCTGTCACCAAGCATTTTCTCTTCACCTTCGTCACCGGATTACCCTTTCAAACCATATCTACATAATGAGATTTTAAGTCCCGAACCTCCGTCTCCACTTTCGGCAGGCATATTTCCTCTCACAAGTCCTCAAAGGCCAGATAATGATGAATAACCTTCTCATACTTCAGTAATGGTGCTGCTAGTGTATAAGATCTTTGTTCACAATCTTATTTTGGGTTTTTTAATTATCAGGTAAGGATGCACTTTTTAAAATAAATAATGTAATGGGTTAATTTTCAAAATACCTTCGATTCTTGCTATTTTTCTTTATTGTGTATTGAATATACTTTTTTTTATTTATGTAATGATCTTATTTGAGCAATAAAAATATAATGTACTTAGCCATTTACTTTCCCATTCTTTAAATATGTTTTTGGAAGATTTTCTTTGTTGACTTGACTTGAGTAAAAATAACAAAAATTAAAACTTTTGTACCAAATTAAATGAATTGAACAGGCTTATAAAAAAAAAGTGAATTCAATAGTCTTATACTTGATATGGTATATGCATTTTAAATAAATAGTCTTATACTTGATATGGTATATGCATTTTAAATAAATAGTCTTATATTTGATATGGTATATACATTTTAAATAAAATGAATGAGCGTATTTAGATTTATTTATGTTTTTCTAATATACTAGGTAAATGAACGTGTATATATATAGGGAGCATATCAAATGAGAGGGATTTTAAATGAGAGGTGAAATAAACAAACAACAACTATTAAATCAAATTAATAAGAGAGATGAAATGTAAATTAATAAGAGAGAGAAATTAATGGTCACATTAATGAATAAGTTTAATCATGATCTAATGGTTATTGTTTGTTCCTCTAACCTCTTATTTAAAATCCCTGTCACTTGATATGCCATATATATATATATATATATATATATATATATATATATATATATATATATATATATATATATATATATATATATATATATATATATATATATATATATATATATATATATATATATATATATATATAATGAATGTGTACATATTTGAATTCATATTAAGAAACCAAACATTTTTACTCTTTTTTCAAGATTTATATATATTTTGCTAACTTTAGTTTTTAAAAATTCTTGATTACACTGTTGAAAGATTAAACTTAATTTGGGCCTAAACATATTATTTAAATTTTTGGGCTTAGTTATTTTAGAATTATATAATTTTAATTAATGTTTCTAGAAAACTCTTGTAATGTTTGGAGTGTCTAGATATTTCTTAGGGTTGTAATATTTTCTAGAATGCTCTTGGAATTCCTAGAGTTGGGAACTCTCTAGAATTAGTGTTTCCAGAGTTTTCCTTAGAGTACTATAGAGATGTAATTCTACACTTTTGTATCAAGTAAAATACAAATTTTTTTCTTCCATAAATGATTCTCCTATTTATCAAGTTTCTATTCAAGGCTCTAATATTCCCACACACTTTCACTAAACACAAAAGGCTTTATTTCCAACAATGTGGCATCAGAGCTTGAAGGTCCTCAAAAGATGGCGAATGGAGGTTTTCCTTTTCAAATGTCGATGCTCACAAAGAACAACTATGACAATTGGAGTATCAAGATGAAGACGCTACTAGGAGCTCAAGATGTGTGGGTTATCATTGAGAAAGGCTTCAAGGAGCAAGATGAAGCCTCCTTAAGCCAAGGTGTAAAGGAGACATTAAGGAGTCAAGAAAGAGAGACAAGAAATCTCTCTTCCTCATTTATCAATCGGTGGATGAAGATGCATTTGAGAATATCTCCAATGCAATGATGGCCAAAGAAGCATGGGACGAGCTTCAAACTTGCAACAAAGGAGTGAGGCAGGTTGTGTAATATGTTCATTCATCATTGGTTGTTCCATTTCATCATCTTCTTCTTCAAAATAAGGAAGAAAATCATACTTGTCTTCTTGAACACTCCAACCCCAACAATCTTCTTCTTCGAACTCCACGTCACGAATTACGACTCAAGCCCTAAAGGGTACAAGCTCTATAATTCAAATAGTGGAAAGATTGTCATAAGTCGTGACGTGGAGTTCGAAGAAGAAGATTGTTGGGGTTGGAGTGTCCAAGAAGACAAGTATGATTTTCTTCCTTATTTTGAAGAAGAAAAAGATGAAATGGAACAACCAATGATAGATGAACATATTACACCACCTGCCTCACCGATACCAAGGTTGGATGAAACAAGCTCAAGTGAAAGGACACCATGATTAAGGAGCATTGAAGAGTTTTATGAGGTAACCGAAAACCAAAATGACATTAACCTCTTTTGTCTTTTTGTTGATTGCGAGCCTCTAAGATATCAAGAAGCTATTGAAAACGTAAAGTGGAGAGATGCCATGGATGAAGAAATAAAGTCAATCACGAAGAATGATACGTGGGAACTTACTACACTTCCACGAGGACACAAAGCAATCGAGGTAAGATGGGTATACAAGTCGAAGAAGAATGCAAAAGGAGACGTAGAGAGATACAAAGAAAGACTGGTGGCAAAAGGCTATAGTCAAAGACAAGGAATTGACTATGATGAGGTATTTGCCCTCGTTGCTCGTCTTAAAACTATTAGACTGATCATTTCTTTGACAGCCCAAAATGAATGGAAGATCTATCAAATGGATGTGAAGTCGGCCTTCTTGAATGGTTTTCTCGAAGAATAAGTTTATATCGAGCAACCACAGGGATATGAAGTAAAAGGGCAAAAAGAAAAAGTCTTCAAGTTGAAAAAGGCGTTGTACGGACTCAAGCAAGCACCGAGAGCTTGGAATGTTCGAATCGACAAGTACTTTCGAGACAAGAACTTCATCAAGTGTCCATATGAGCATGCACTCTATATTAAAGCGCAAAGTGGAGATATTTTAATTGTATGCTTATATGTTGATGACTTGATCTTCACTGGGAACAATCTAAGCATGTTCGAAGAGTTCAAGAAAGATATGTCAAATGAATTTGAGATGACAGATATGAGGCTCATGGCATATTATCTTGGCATTGAAGTAAATCAAGAAGACAAAGAAATTTTTATCACCCAAGAAGGCTATGCAAAAGAAGTCCTTCAGAAGTTTAATATGGATGATGCCAATCCGGTTGGCACCCCGATGGAATGTGGCAGCAAGTTGAGTAAGCATGAAAATGGAGAGATTATGGATCTAACTCTTTACAAAAGTTTGGTTGGAAATCTATGTTACTTGACAAGTACAAGGCCGGATATTCTCTATGATGTAGGAGTCGTAATTCGTTACATGGAAGCTCCAACAACAACTCTCTTCAAGGCGGCAAAGAGAATCCTTCGATATATCAAAGGTACAACAAACTTTGGCTTACACTATTACTCTTCTAATAATTATGAAATTGTTGGCTATAGTGATAACGATTAGAGTGGAGACTTGGACAATAGAAAGAGCATTACTGGTTTTGTGTTCTTTATGGGAGATACTGCTTTCACTTGGATGTCAAAGAAGCAACCTATTGTTACACTGTCGACTTGTGAAGCTGAATATGTTACTGCTACATCATGCGTTTGCCATGCAATTTGGCTAAGGAACTTGTTGAAAGAGTTAAAAATGCCACAAGAAGATCTTATGGAAATATGTGCTGACAATAAATCAGCATTTGTGTTGGCAAAGAATCCTGTATTTCATGAAAGAAGTAAACACATCGACACCCGTTACCATTTTATAAGAGAATGCATCAAGAAGAAGGATGTGAAGTTGAAGTATGTGATGTCTCGAGATCAAGCTGCCAACATTATCACCAAGCCACTCAAGTTGGAAACTTTTGTAAAGCTAAGGAGTATGCTTGGAGTCACAAATCAAGTTTAAGGGGGAATGTTGAAAGATTAAACTTGATTTGGGACTAAACATATTATTTGGATTTTTGGGCTTAGTTATTTTGGACATAAGTAATTTTAATTAATGTTTCTAGAAAACTCTTGTAATGTTTGGAGTGTCTAGATATTTCTTAGGGTTGTATTATTTTCTAGAATGCATTTGGAGTTCCTAGAGTTGAGAACTCTCTAGAATTAGTGTGTCTAGAGTTTCCCTTAGAGTACTATAAATAGAGTTGTAATTCTACACTTTTGTATCAAGCAAAATACAAAGTTTTTTCTTCCATAAATAACTCTCTTATTTATCAAGTTTCTATTCAAGGCTTTAATATTCCCACACACTATCACTAAACACAAAAGACTTTATTTCCAACATACACTTTAATTTTAGAGGGCATGCTTTTTTTTTTTTTACAGGCGAGAAACGTATATTACCATAGCATGGAGACCAAAGAAGTCTCCACCCACCAATATATAACATAAAACCTACATGAAAGTAGGACACTTATACCAATCGCAATAATTACAACGAATGAGCTGCGACTCCCCAATTATCCGCCATTTTCACAATATCACATTGATTCTTTGACCGTCACTTTTTTCTTTTCATTGAGATATGGCAATATTTTATTTATAATTTTTTTTTGAATTTATACCATCATTTATTATTGTAACATCAACTCTCATTGTCTTCGTGAATTTACGTTAACAATAGAAACGAAAAGTTGTCTACACGAAAATGTTATATATATATATATATATATATATATATATATATATATATATATATATATATATATATATATATATATATATATATATATATATATATATATATATATATATATATATATATATATATATATATATATATATATATATATATATATATATATATATATATATATATATATATATATATATATATATATATATATATATATATATATATATATATATTGCATCTCTAACTCATAGGTTTACTTCTTATTTTGTGACTTTGATCCACATGGTTAACTCTCCCTCTCATCTTGGTGACTTACAACCTATTTCCCTTGTTGATCATGCCCTTCTTTCTTTAGTCGGGGATATTCTTCACTGTGAGATAAGCCTATCTTCCTTTTAATATCTTAGGATTCTAATTGGGGTCAATCCTCGTCTTGAGTCTAATTAGGATCCCTTGGTTTATTTGTTGGAAAAAAGACTCAACTCTTGGAAGCATACATATGTGTGTTTGGGGGTAAAATGATTCTTCTTAATTCGATGCTTAATGTTATTCCCAT